CGTAAGTTTTCAAATGTAAAGACTGATTTGCATATAATTTCATGAATCAATTATACATTCAGCTCATATGCTGCTCTTCACCCTGACTTTAAACTCCCTAGCTGTTGCAGTGGATTAGAATGTAGGATTTAGAGTCAGGAAAACCTGAGTCTGAATCCTGTGTCAGACACTTATTGGCTGTGTATGACCCTGGGCAAGTCACTTAACCTTAACAAGTCCCTTTGTGACTTGTCTCCCTGTGCCTCAGTTTCCTCATCTGTAAGAATGGAGATAATAATAGCACCATCTCCGCAAGGTTGTTGTAAGGATGAATTGACAACATATGTAAAGTGCTTTGCTAACTTAAAATACTATGTAAATACTATCTAATATCATTATCATCATCATTATTATTATTAATTTCCCCATTAATTTTCATAAGTTTCATAAGACCCAAAAGGACACATTATAGTTTGCTTAGTTTATTTATCTTCCATTTGACTGATTTTGATTTTCAAGGAATTATTTTCTCTCTTTTTCCAAGCTATTAATTCTCTTTTGATATTTTTCTTCCTTAATTCTTGTTTCTTCTCCCACGTTTTCTTCTACCACTCTCAACTGGTTTTTAAAATAATTTTTCAGCTCCTTTTTGTAAAAGCTCTTGCTTTAACTCTTCTATGAATTCCTGTTGAATTTGTGTTTTGTTGAATGCGCTTATAGATGATTTGGAGTCATTTATTTTCTATGTTTGTGTCTTGAGTTTCTCTGTTCCCAGAGGAGCTCATTATGGTCAGGTTCTTTTTTTTGGTTTGTTCTGTTCACTCATTCTTCCAGACTATTTCTTGACTTTGGATTTTATGTGAGTGCGGGGCTCTGCATACTTCTGGGGAGGATGTCAGACCTGAATCTCTGTCTTGTTGCGTCCTTCTGCTGTCTTCACAGCTTTGCAAACTCTCAGTCCTCCCAAAGTGGTGAGATCTAGGGTGAGGCCTGTTCACTTAAACCCTCCTGGTTTAAGCTTTGTAAGTTCCTGACCCAGCAGGTTTTGGTGGAGGGGAGATAAAAAGGAAAGGAAATAGAATTTATATAGAGCCTGCTATGTTTCAGGCCCTGTGCTAAGCACTTTTTACAAATATGATCTCATTTGATCCCCACAACAACCCTGTGATGTAGGTGCTACCATTGGCCCTATTTTACAGTTGAGGAAACTGAGCTAAACAGAGGCTAAGTGACTTGCCAAGGGTTGCACAGCCAGTGTCTGAGGCCAGATTTGAACTCACATCTTCCTAACTTCAGGCCCAGGACTGTATCTGCTGTACCACCTAGCTGACTCATTTGGGTCTGTCAGCTTGTCCCTGGTTGGGAGTCTCACTAGACAGCTGCTGGACTCAGCCACTATGTAGCCATCTGAGAGATTCAGCAGGATCCGAGCCATTGAACTGCAGGCTATGCTTTGATCTGGGACTCCTATCCTGGTTATTCTACCACAGGTTTCCATGCTGAGCTAGAAGCTAGAACGGAGTCCCCTGCTTTGTTTCTGGGCTCAGAACTATATAGCTATGCTTTGCTTCTGGAACCCTTTCCTTGCTCAGTATCCTGCTCAGATCCACACTAGTGACTATTCCTCTCCACCCTGGACCTGTGACCTGAATATCAGGAAAGAGTCTCATCTCTGACATGGGACAGTGATGTTTTGCAGGTTTCCTTGTTGGTGGTGGTGGTAGTGGTGGTGGTGGTCCTTCATTCTCAAAGAGGACCATGACATCAGGAAGGTGACGCCATGACTCGCAAATGAATCGGACTTCAGCGAGGGAGGGCTGTACAAAGTCGCCAGCCTCACTTTCTTCTCCAGAGCCATCTGAGTCCAATGGCCAGATATAGATCAGGATGGCTGGAGACGGCCCCCACCAGGAACTCTAGAGATAAAAGGAAGATCTTTCCAAAGAGCCAGAGCCAGAGTCAGAAAGAACCCGAGAGGATATCTCATCCAATGCCTCATTTTGCAATGTAGGAAACTGAGGCCCAGTAAGGTTCAGCAGCTTGCACAAGGTCATACCGATGCTAACTTTAGAGGTGTGATTTGAGCCTAGGTCCAATGGTTCTGCCTCCTATGTGTGACTACCTCTACGAGACATTGACCTCATCTGTGAAATAAGAACATGAAAACAATGTTTACATTACCTGCCTCATAGACTTGTGAGCGAAGTGATTTGTTAACTTTAAACTAAGTACTCGATGCTCAGCTAGTAGAAGGATGCATGATATAGCAGAAGAGAGGTCCTGAAATCAAGAGACCTAAGTTCAAATATTGCTGCTGATACGACCTGTGTGACCTTGGACAAATCACTTGACCACCTGTTTTCAGTTTCCTTATCTGCAAAATGGGAGGGGGGAGGCTCTGAGCTTTCCTCGAGGTCTAGATCTATGATCTTATGTACCCCCGGGAGAGTTCTGTCTTGCGTTGTTGTCTGTACAAAGACCCTAAGAGCCTAGGTAGAAAGAAGGGGGCTTGCCACAGCAAATTTTGAGATCATGTTACTGGAATGAAATTGCCCCCTCTGGGATCATCCTGATCCCTCTGTGCTGTAGAATTATGATTTTCATAAGAATCGATGTATGTGTAATGAATATACTAATAGATCAGATTTTTAAGAATTGTCTTTTCCGGGTTGTGAGCCAGAGCTCACAATGCAGCTTAAAATGATCAATCAAACTTTGACAATGCTCACAATCACTGGCATCCTTGTGCCTGTGCACCTGAAGTGAAGAGAATCACAGACGATAGAACCTGTTCCTGTCACAGAACTCTAGTCTTGTGACCCACCAAGGAACGACCCCTGAAGACTTGAATAATGCTGTTCCACACAGAAATTGAGGACACTCGTACCTTAGTACTGCAGGATTTGTGGGCTGGTTGTGGGAAATCATTCTGGTCCTGGGAATAATTGTCTGCAATCTACCTTCCTCCCCTCCCTTCCATTGTGATTGATGTCTGTCTTCACTTCAGCAAGGTGGAATTCTGATCAGGAGAATTCCTGATTTGCACATCTGTTCCTCATAATGAAACTCATTAATTAAAGGACTACCTGATTACTGGCACTTTGTCTCTGGCCTGCTGTTTCATCATTCTCAGGTTAGAGACTGGCTCAGTAAAATCCTGTTAACAGTGCCAAGGAACCATACTAGAGGATAAAAGGGATGCTATCTGTATTTATGCCATCTTGGCCTGATTTGAACTTCCAGGGGGACCGTAGCCAGACTGTAGCGGGAGCAACAACAATCAACTGAGGCAGCCAAAGATCGTGTCTACCCAAATTCTGCAAGGACCACAAACCACTAATAAATCCAATCCATAACCAGACTGATAAGCTACAGACGAGGCAAGATACCACAATTTGTTCCCTTTTTACTAACCTTGGGAGTGACTAGTTGTGAAATGCCCCAACCACACAAAAGATCCAGAAAGGGAAAGGGGGAATGAAATCAATCAATCAACAAACACTAATTAAATACTCACAATGTACCAGGCACATGTATTGGCCCTTTCACCCCCCACCCCAAGTTTAAGATGAGTTAATTACTGTAATAGGATATTACACCAAAAAAGAAAAGAGAGATACAGGACAATAACTTCAGAGCCCAGGACAGCCTAATGAAGGGAGTTTTGTTTTGTTTTAAGGATGGGGGAGATTTAGTCCTGTTTGTAAGCAACAAAGAAAGAACCAGCAGATAGGAAGAAACTGATGATTAGAATGAGAGGGACACTGCTTGAGGTGCAATCTACTGGAGATTATCGGAGGAGATGGGATCAAAGACACATGTAAAGGAGTTGACATTGACAAGAAGAAGGGCCACCTTATTATGATGGAATAGAAGAAAAGAAGCAAGTGTGGGAAAAGAAGGATTTTTAGATGAAAAGAGAAGATGGAGATTATAATAAATAATATCCATTTTCTAAATAAAGTATGAGATGAAAAAGTAGAGAGAGGGTAAGGTATGGGATGTTTGAGGAGAAAAGAGAAGATTTGGAACAGCTTCCATAAGGAATGTGATATAAAATCAACCAGGGAGAAATAAAATGATTGACTTCCTGTAGTGAGGGCTCATTTGAGGGTAGAAACATAAATTTGTAGTAGACTCAGTCAGCTCCATTGCCTGGCTTCCTCCAGTTCCATTCAGCATCATGGTAGGAGTAAGCCAAGGTTGGGCTTTGAAAAACACGAGCAGTAATTGGACAAAGAGACAAGGGATTCAAGAGTAAAGAACAGTGTGGAGTGCCTCGTGATGATCTGCACATAAGTGAAGGAGATTTTTGCTCCTTTTCTTTTCCTTCTATGTGTTGTAAAATAAATTGGTTGTGTTCCATTCTGAATTCCATCCCATTATGGGTTCCGAGGGAAAAGATCTGAGAAACTGAACTATTTCAGTGAGTGAAGGTGAAGCCAAACAACTGCACTGATTTCAATAATTCAATATTTCATTTCATCCCCTAGATTAGGGTTCAGATGCAAGGAGTCAGTCAGCTTCTGGGTCAGACTTAAAATGAAGGCCATTGTGGGAGGAGCTTCTCAGGCACTAACTAGATTGAGTGCCCTCCAGTGGTCAAAGGAGATATTACAGCATGTTGAAAGGTAGTAGAAAGAAACCTGAGTAAAGCACCTCCTAGTGTCTAATTCAGGCATGTAGTTCTGAGTTCATTCAAAACTTTTGACTAGATTTTGGCCTATAGGACAGCACCTATGAACCAATGTCCCAACTGAGTTGCACATTCGTGTATTTGTCAGGTTGGCTAGCAGCTCTGTTGTGGTCTCATGGGAAGAGATGAGCAAGAATCATTCCAGGAAGAGAAAGGGTGTATGGACTGTGGATTTTTAGGAGTGAAGGGAGAATTCACATCAATGAGACAGCACTTAGTTGAAATCTAGTCTACCAATCGGATGACTAAGAATTGAAAGTTGACTATCCTGTAAAAATAAAGTCATAAGTCAAAAGGAAGGGGAAAAAATACAAGAGCCATAATATAAGGTAAAGGAGATGTTTTATTGGTTCAACTTCATCTCTGTGCTAGGATGGGTCAGATTCATCCCTTCTATCCATGGATCTCATCAACATGATTCAGTGGTGTTCATCTTCGGTCATCACAGGTCATATCACCATGGCTCCGCTTATGGTAGATGATTGCCATTTTGCCCACGATTTTCATATAATTGTTAAAGCTGACTTCTCCATTTTCACCCTTAGATTTGTCAAAAAGGTCTCTTATGAAACCATCTGGATTGTTCGAGCCCTAGAGAAAGAAGATGCCAAACTAGGTGAAGCTCAGCTGAGGACTACCTCCTCTCCATACCTCATGCCCCCAGCCCTTTCTCAATTCCACAAATTGAGAAACTTTCCAAAACTGACCTGTCTTCTCTCCCCTTCCCTTAGAACCAGACTCTCTGTTAATCTTATAAACCAGTTTGTGGTCATATCAGTGTTTAAGGCTACATGTGCTAATTTGTACATTTTAACAAGGACTTTTAGCAGACAGATATTCTGAACTCAAAAGAATGATTAGCAGACCCCAATATCAGGAGAATGGGAGGAGATGTTTTCAGCAAAAGGGACTTTTCATGCCTTTTTTTTTTCTTCACATGGAGCACTCAGATATCTAAGCAGGGTGAAGATTAAGAATGGTCAAAGCCCTTCTGGCTACTGAAGTCTCTGAAAAGAGGAATTCGAGAATCAGAGGAACTTGACTTTGACTGCTTAGCATAAGTAAATCATCTCTGTTAATTAGGTGTCTAATTGCTTCTGGTAGCTGGGCTGGATGCTTTTCTGGGTTCCCCTAAAGGAATATTCAGCAGGGGCATACAACGTCTGCATGGGTGGTGTCCTGGTGGAAGGGACAGAAATCCAATCTTGGAGTCAACAGCTGGATTTGAGTCCAGGCACTGACACTTTTGGGTTGGACACTGGACATTAATCTAGTGTGACTCTGGGCAAATCAGTTAACCTCTCTCTACACTAAAGGTTCTTTATCACTAAAATATATATAATAATATTTGGACTGTCTTCCTCATAGCATTTTCGTAAAAAAAACTGCAAGAAAAATCTAAGATATTTGTGATATTTTATGGGGTTTGAGGAGTTGTATAACTGAAAAATAATTTTGTTCAGTTGTTTTCAGTCATGTCTGACTCTTTGTGACCCCATTTGGGATTTTCTTGGTGAAGATACTGGAGTGGTTTGCCATTTCCTTCTCCAGTTCATTTTACAGATGAGGAAACAGAGGCAAACAGGATTAAATGATTTACCCAAGGTCACACAGCTAATGAGTATCTGAGGCCAGATTTGAACTCACGAAAATGAGTCTTCTTGACTTCAGGCCCAGCACTCTATCCACTGCACTAATAGACAGGTGTGATTTTTTTCCTCTTAAGATATGTAGATTTAAAGACAGACGTGGTTTTTTTAGAGCTACTTGAGGATGGTCTCTTCTGAGAACTCCTTTCCCAGACTTAGCCATTGACCTCCAGAGGGAATGAGGGTATTTATCTCCAATTGGGTTTCCATGGGCCATATATGTAAAATAATAATAATAATCAGGACCTAAAATGTCCTTGCTCCAGATTCCCCACATGAGAAGAGAATGTGACTTGGAGAAGACTCAACCACCATTGTCTCCTTAATTAATGGCCCCCACTTACACAGGCTGAAAGGAAAGTAGGATAGTCTTCCTTAATGATCTCAGTCATCTCCTGGAGATTCAGTTGGTCCCAGTCCTTTGACTTTTTGCTGTGCTTGTGAAAAGTGTCCATCACTTCATTAATGGCATTTTCTAACTTGGTAGCAACCATCTTTGGTTTGGAAACAAATCTAAAAGAAAAAGAGACCATGGGGCTCATTTTCTGGAAGAGAAAGCACTAAGAGTTCATAAGATTTAGAGCTGGAAGCAACATTTTTTTGTTTGTTTCAAAGGTTATCTCTTTTATTATACAGTGGTATGGGGGAGATGAGAGAAAATAGATTTTGTTAATGGAAAAAAAATAAAGCTTTTTTTTTTATTTTCACATTAGTCATGTTGTAAAGAAGAATTAGAACTGATGGGAGGAACCACAAGAAAGAAGAAACAAAACAACAAAAAGAGAGCAAATAGTATGCTTCCATCTTCATTCATTCTCCAAAGTTCTTTCTTTGGATGTGGATAGCATTTTCCATCTTGAGTCTTTTGGAGCTATGTTAGATCCTTGAATTGCTGAGAAGAGCTAAATCTATTAAAGTTAGTCATCACCCAATGTGGCTGTTACTGTGTACAATGTTCTCCTGAGGTTCTGCTCACTTCACTCAGCATCAGTTCATGTAAGTCTTTCCAAGTTCTTCCTGAAGTCTGCCTGCTCATCATTTCTTATTGCACAATAGTATTCCACTACATTCATATACCACAACTTGTTCAGCCATTCCCCAATTGATGGGCACCCCCTCGATTTCCAGTTCTTTGCCACCACAAAAAGAGCTACTAAAATATTTTTGTACATATGGGTCCTTTTCCCGTTTTTATGATCTCTTTAGGATACAGACCTAGAAGTGGTATTTTTGGGTCAAAGGGTATGCACAGTTTTATAGCCCTTTGGGCATGGTGGAAGCAAAGTATCTACTCATCTAGTCCAACCCTTTCATTTTACAGATGAGAAGACCCAGGTAGAAAAGAGAGGTTCAATGACTTCTCTAAAGCTTCACTCCAAATATGCCCTCTGCATCCTCAGTCACCTAACTCTGAGTGGAATTATGAGGCAAGAGGGAGGGAGAGAGTTGAGGTGAAAGATTGCTGGGAAGAAAGAATATGGAGTCTCTGGTGAAGATTGTGGAGGGTTATAGGAGAGGTGAGGGAGCTAAGGATCTGTAGGAAGGAGGATGAGGATCTATGGGATAAGAGTGAGAGAATAAGTGAGCTATGAGAGGTAGAGGAGAGAAGCTAGGTGGCTCAGTGGATAGAATGCTGTGCCTGGAGTCAGGGGAACTCATCTTCCTGAGTCCAAATCTGGCCTCAGACAATTACTAGCTGTGTGACCCTGGGCAAGTCACTTAACCCTGCTGGCCTCAGTTTCCTCATCCATAAAATGAGCTAAAGAAGGAAAAAGTTTGCCAAGAAAACCCCAAATGGGGTCTCAAAGAATTGAATATGACTGAACAATAATAACAATGAGAGGTAGAAGAGGGGCTGTTGGATGGGAATCCATGGGAGGGAGAGGAGTTGTGGGAGTTTGTGGAAAGGTTCATGGGAGATGGGATGAGGAGCTATGGAGAAGAGGGTTTTGGGGGAGTTGGAGAAGGTATAAAGGGTTGAATTTTGTCTGAAAGGAATTGAAGGGAAAGAGATCTTCAAAATAGTCACACTGCCATCCAGAAGCCTAGAAAGTAACTTTTGGGCAGAGCACAGAGTAGGATAACCCTGGGGATCAAACCTGTAGAGTGTTATCATTATCTATGATATTGGGCAACTGGGAAGAGTCTGGAAATCAGAGGATAGTGAACTCAGGATTCAAGGTAAAAAGACCCTAGCACTTACACCAAGAATCACCTCCAGTTTCTTTCCTGTCCTCTCCTCCTTACCACCAAGGATGGTCCAATGGAAAGAGCCCTGGATTTGAAGTCAAAAGTCATGAGTTCAAATCCGAGCTTTGTTCCTTACTATGTGAGTTACCTTGGGCAAAGTCCTTAACTTCTCTGGGCCTCAGTTTCCTCATCTGTAGAATGAAGGGAACAGACAAAAGGTTCTCTAGAGTCCCTTCTAGCTCCAAATCAATAATCTGTGACCCTGGGTCAGGTCTTATGCCCTCCTACTCACATTTAGTGAAGATAACCCCTGCCCTAGGGGTCAGAGCTAAGGCCCTGGAGGCTTCAAGTGACTGGAAGCATCTTAGGTATGGGGTTTCAGGTGGGACCAGCACCCAGGGAGAACCAGGAGTCTGACTGAGTCTCAGTGATCGGACCTTTCAGGATTTCCCACAGGCCTGATATCAGGAAGAAGTCAAAGTCCCAGAACTAGTCAGGAATCTCCTTGGTAGGTGAGCCCTCATAATCAAAGCAGTTACAATATTTTATCATTACTACTATCAATAATGGCCATTTAAAATGTGCTGGGAATCCCGTTGTTAGCACATTTACCCACCTAGGCACGTAAGTAAAGAGACCCTTCAGGTCTAGGGACCTGCGGATCACCATTTGACACCTAATTAGCATGCTGCAGGCATACATGAAACACTGCATGGCCCAAAAACTGAAATTACAATTTCTCTAAAAGAGGAATAAGTCATCATTCTCCTCCAGGTTGAAAACCATGAGAAACTAGACTGATTTATTTTTCATGGAAGGACTAAGAATGTAGTTTATCTTTCAATTCTCCCATGCATTGGATTATCCACACCAGCACAGCCTTCCATCTACACACTATCATAGAATGTCAGAGCTGGAAGGGCCTTCAGGGGCAATCCACAATGCCCTCTACAACATAACTCAAAAATAGGTCACCTAGACCTTATTTAAAAGACCTCCAATGAGAGCAAACTCACTACCTCTTGCAGCAAACCATGCCACTTCTGTATAATTCAAATTGTTAAAAAGTTTGTCTTGACATGAGCCTAAGTAAATCTCTCTCTGTGCCTTCCACACGATACTCCTAGGTATGCATTATGGAGCGAAATAGAACAAGTTTAATTACTCCTCCCAATAAGATCTCTGCCTTAATCTTCACTGCTCCAGGCTAAACACCACCCTCCTACCCCAGTCATTTCAAGTGATCTTTTGAAGGCTTCATTGAGAGCTTTCACCCCTCTCTTAGGGCTGACCAGCTGACCGATGCCCTTCCTGAAATGAGGACCCCAGAACTGAACACAATACCCCTGAAGTGGTTTGACTAGGGCAGTTGTGATGGAAAGAACACTAGATTTGGAATCAAAGGACCTGAGTTCAAATCTCAACTCTAACACTAAGAGTGTGACCTTGGCTAAGTCAATTAACTTTTCTGAGCCTCAGTTTCCTTATCTAGAAAATAATTAATTTGGATTAGATGACCCTAAGGTCCTTTCCACTCTAAATGTTTGAACCCTGGCCTCTTTGGCACTTAGTGATGAGGGTGAGATGAGAATAATGATAGCTAAGACTTTACATAGCTCTGTAAGGTTTGCAAAACACTCTATTTGTTAACTTATTTAAAACCAGCAGCAACTCTGTGAGGTAGGGGTCATGATTACCCCCATTTTACAGAAGAGAAAACTGAGGCTGATTAAGTGACTTGTCTAAGTTCACATGGCTAATAAGTGTCTGAGGCAGGATCCCAGCTCAGGTTTTCTTCACTCTTAAGTCCCACACTCTATTCACCTTAACACCTGGATGGCTAAAGGAGCTCTCTGCTTATCTTCCCAGGTCCTCAGACCTCAGCTACAAACAAAACCAAAGTAGACGTTAGGTCTAGGTAGGATATGATCTGAAAAGTGGCTGATGGCTGAGCATGAGGGTACTAAGAATCACTTCCCAACCAGGCACCCTACATACTTACATCCAAGAGAGATAGCGTAGGGCTCTAATCTAGGGCATCTCCTCACTCAGGTTTGTGCCAAGTGAGGGGCAGCTAATGGTAGTAAGTGAGTGGCAGAGCTGGGTTTCCTCATCTCTTCTTCTCTGTTTGCCAGACCTATAGTCAGAACAGGACAGACTGGAGCATGGAATCTAGCACCTAAAGGGAGAAATAGGGACTTACCAGAAAGAGCCTGGAGAGGAATCCCAGAAGAGAAGGAGCGATATAGAACTCCAGTGGAGGAAGTTCCCTTTTATACTGTCCAGGACTGATCCATCACCAGATGTCAGGGGGAACCTGTTGCAATTCTTGGCTTCCCAGGTTGCTGCTGTTTGCCGTAGGGGAGACACACCCAGACTTTCTCTCTAGAACAGCCTAGTCCACCCAGACTGTGCCCTTGTAATTGCTTTGAATCTTTCTGATTTTCCCCAAAGGGGCCAGAGGGTGGGGAACAAGGAAACCATTAGAAAGCTAAGAATTACAACTTTAGAAGATCTGGAAAGGGGAAAAGTCTTCTCTTCTCCCTGTCTCTTCACAGCCCCAGTGCTTATGTTCCAGGTACATCTGGAAGTTCTAGAACAGAGGGTCCACAAAAGACTCTGAAGTGGGGAAAAGCCTCCTCCAATATCTGCCTGTTTTTTTTCATTTCAACTGCCCAGAACCTATTTAAAAACAACCTTATCTCATACCAGTTGTATGACCTTACACAAGTCATTTGCCTTCTCTAGACCTCAGTTTCCTCAGCTGTAAAATAAGAGAATGAGCTCTAAAGTTGCTTCTATCACTAACATTCAATGATCCTGAACCCCCTCCCTTCACAAACACGAAACTACAGCCAATTTGACTCATCCAATCATAGGCTTTTATCTATCATGGGGTCAGTCAATAAGCATTAAGTACCTAGTATGCCCCACAGGATTTAAAGCCAAAAGAGACCTTAGAGGTCATTTAGTCCAACCCCCTCATTTTACAGATAAGGAAACTGAGACCCATGAAGGTGAAGTGACTCATCCAAGGTCATTTGTAGTAAACAACGTAACCAAGATTTGATTCAGGTGCTCTGATTCCATCCAGTATGCTTTCCATGGCATTATGGGTCTATTCCCCTGCCTCTGCACTCAGGTTGTTCCTCCCAGCTCCCCAGCCCTTGAATGAACTCTCTCCTTCCCTCTGCCTGTTAACAGCCTTCCCTTCCTTAAAGACCCTGTTCAAAAACCTCCTCCTCCATGAAGCATACCTTGATTTTCCTTCTCTTCCCCATTATGTCCCATCCATTGCTAACCATAACTCCTTTGATTTCAAACTTCTCAGTTTAACCTCTCCTGTGCTTTTATTTTATTTATTTGCATACATATTTGCTCCCCCGCCTCCTAATAAATTTTAAACTCACTGAGAGCAGGAATGGTACCATTGTCCTTACCTTACCTGAAAGGATATTTGTAAAGCACTCTGTAAGCCTTGAAGCGCTATATAAATGCTAGCTATTATTATTATTAATTATTATCCTCACATCCCAATGTACTGCATATAGTAGGCTGAACTGGAATTCAGATAAAGGATGCCACATTTGTGGGGCAGCTAGGTGGCACAGTGGATCGAGCACCAGGCCTGAAGTCAGGAAGGCCTGAGTTCAAATCTGGCCTCAGACAGTTACTAGCTATGTGACCCTAGGCAAGCCAGTTAATCCTGTTTGCCTCAGTTTCCTTACTTATAAAAAGAGCTGGAGAAGGATATAACAAACCACTCCAGTATCTTTGCCAAGAAATCCCCAAGCGGGGTCACAAAAAACCAGACACAATTAAAACAACTGGATGGCAAATGCCACATTTGTCTACACCTCAAATAAAATAAATTTTATTAAAGACCATGGGAACATAGATTTAGAGCTGGACATTAGTGAAGGTTTCATTTCTATTAGACACACAGAAGTAAAAACAGTGCTGTGTGTCTATAAGCACTGTTGATTTACAAGCTGCAGACTCTGGAAACTCAGTTCTCTAGGCAAGTCTCTGAAGAATTCGAGTAACAGATAAATTCACATCTGTCGATATTAATCCATCTTGTATTTGGAATAGCTTTTTTTGTTCTTTTCTTGAAATATAGTCTTCAAAGTATTTTTATAGCATAGTGTCCTGCTAGGGGGCACAGTGAATAGAGCGCCAGTCCTGAAGTCAGGAAGACTCATCTTCCTGGGTTCAAATCTGACCTATGTATGACCCTGGGCAAGTCACTTAATCTTGTTGACCTCAGTTTCCCCAACTGTAAAAGGAGCTGGAGAAAGAAATAGCAAACCACTCCAGTATCTTTGCAAAGAAAATCCCAAAAGGGGTTATGAAGAGTTGGAGACAACTAAAAAAACAGCTGAACAATACATCCATTCCTTACAACAACCCACTGGAATATGCAAGGATGAGGATTCCAACAAAAAGGATGAAGAAACTGAGTCCTAGAGTGGTAAAGTGACGTGTCTATAGTCACACAAGTAGCAAGGTGCCAGAATATCATAGGCCAAAGAGAATTTTCATTTTACAGATTGAGAAATTGAGGCCCAAAGAGACAAAGTGATTTGTCCAAGGTCACACAGATCGTACAAGCTGGGATTCAATTCCAAACCCAGTCCTTTTCACCTCCAACCTCACCCCCATCCCTAACCCTGCCCCCAAGGTATCATAATACCATTGGCAGAGGTAAGACTAGAACCCAGGTAGCTGAAGTCCCAACTTAGTCTTCTTACTACACTGTGCCAGGGGCCCCTGCACCTGTAGTCTAGAGGAAGTCACATTTGTAGTCAATGAATTTTGACCTTGTTGCAGGAGAGGGTGGAGAGCTCCTGTCCAGAGCCAAGGAACTGGAGGAGAACTCCCAGCTCTGTGACTCTTGACTCTCTTGAGTCTTGGAAGGGAGTTGGGGATAAGGAGAATGAGGTAGTATGGTGACTAGAAGGCTGAGTATTGCTGTTCAGTCATTTCGGTGATGTCTGACTCTTCGTTACCCCATTCGGAGTTTTCTTGGCAAAAATACTGGAGTAGTTTGCCATTTCCTTCTCCAGGTCATTTGACAGATGAGGAAACTAAGGCAACCAGGGTTAAGCGACTTACCCAGGGTCACACAGCTACTAAGTGTCTGAGGCCACATTTGAACTCATGAGGCAGAGTCTTCCTGATTCCAAGCCCAGTGCTGGGCCCAAGTTCAAATCCACCTTACTACATTTACCAACAGTGTGACCCCCCAGGCAAATCATTTAACTTCTGTCTACCTCAATTTTCTCATCTATAAAATAGGGATAATAATAACACCTATCTCCCAGTACTGTTGTGAAGATAAATGAGATATTTCTAAAACACTTTATAAATGCTATTATCATTATCATCATCATAATTATTACTAACAGGGGGCTAAAGAGGGGGAAGGAAGAGGGGAATAGCAATTTTGCCTTGAGGTCTGCTCCGTCCCTTCCTCAATTTGTATACAAACTTTACATACATCAGACAGGGCGACATTCCAGTAATTATTAATGTGCCCAAACCTGCTAGAAGAATCGGGAAGGAAGGAGGATAGAGCAGATGCTGTAATGGAGGGAGGGGGTGGCCCAAGCTGATGTTCCCGATATGAGGCAGGTCTCAGCAGCAACTCTGGTGCCTGCCCACCTGACTCACTGTCTTTTTCATCCTTCTGCTTGCCAAGAGGAAGAATGAGAAGAGCCCCAGTTAACCAAGGGCAAACGCTGTCATCACCATCCTTCTATCAATGTGGCAACAAATGGATGTGGTCAGTGACTTCATCAGTGTTGCCCAAACCAACTACCACTCCTGACTTCTCGGTATCTGACGATACCAACCCCTTTCTCCTGGTCAACGGGATTTCAAAACCTTAGATCATTCTTGACTTCTCTCTCACCTTCTCTCTCCTTCCATCCCATTCGTTACTCAGTTGTGCCCATTCATCCATATCAACACCCCTGGGATCCAACCACTCCTCATCCCAGCTACCACCTGTAATCCCAGGCCATCTTCACCTCCTTCCAGAACTTTTACAGTAATGTTTTGCATCTCATCTCCCTGTCTCCCTTGCCTCCTCTTCTCACCTCCTTCAATCCATTCTGTACAAATTGCCAGGATAATCTTCTTAATACATGAGTCCAACCATGATACACTCCTTTTTCAAAAAACCTCAGATTCAGGGACCACAGTGTTACAGTGGAAAGGCCAAAGGATTTAGAGTCAGAGGGACAGGGTTCAGATCTCACCCCAGCCATTATTTAACTTGTGTGACCTCCAGCAAGTAACTTAAGCAGTCTGTGCCTCAGTTAACCCATCTGTAGAAATGGGTATAATAATGCCAGCAGTATTTTCCTTATAAGAGTGAGGTAAGGCTGAAATGGGATAATGAATATAATGTAGTAAGTTCCTGGAGAACAGAAACTGTTTGAGGTTTTTTTTTTTCCTAGCCCAAGCATATACAACAAAGTCTTACACATGGAAGTACTTAATAAGCATTTGTTGAATGCTACTAGATTAGTGTTACAATGTTGTTATTTGTTAGTTGTTAATGTTATCATCACCATCATCATTATTAAAGTTCAAACTCCTAAACCTGGCATTCAAAGCTTTGTATACTGTGCCCTAACCTACCACTAAAACCTTATGGTTCCCACAACTTATTTACATAATCACTACCCCTCTCCAAGACTCAGTGTCTTTTTCTGTAAAATGAGGGTGTTCACCATTAGGATGAACTCAATCATCCCTTCCAGCTCTAAATGTCTGACCCTATAAAACATTCTAACCCACTGCTGAATGCAAATGAATCTTTCTTTAGCACAATTCCCCTTGCCTTTGCATGTATTGTTACCTAGGCCTGAAATGAGGGGTAGCTAGGGGTGCAGCAGATAAAGACTGGGCTTGGAATCAGGAAGATCTGAGTTCAAATCCCGCCTCAGACACTTACTAGCTGTGTGACCCGGGACAAGTTACTTTAACCCTGTTTGTCACAGTTTCTTCATCTGTAAAATGAACTAGAGAAGGAAATGGCAAATCATTCCAGTGACTTTGCCAAGAAGACACCAAATGGGGTCACAAAGAGTTGAACAACAACAATAAAGGAAGTGATGAAGAAAATCTTAATAATACAGATTAAACTTAAAAGTGTGTTGTGGGGGCAATTAGGTAGTGCAGTGGATAGAGCGCCAACCCTGAAGTAAAGAGGACTTAAACTTAAAAGTATGTTGTGGGGGCAACTAGATAGTACAGTGGATAGAGAGCCAGCCCTGAAGTCAGGAGGACTCAAGTT